ATTACCGCATTGGAAAGGTTTATATGGACTGCTTAGGCCTCTTTGTCTGTTCTTCGTTATCGGGCTGTAGGGGTCTTTTGTTGTGTGGCAGGTGATTGCTGAGCTGTGGCTCGTTCTGGCTCGTCAGTGGCTCGTTCTGGCTCTTCAGTGGCTCGTTCTGGCTCTTCAGTGGCTCGTTCTGGCTCTTCAGCGCCTCGGTGACTCTCTTATCACCACTGACGCCGTTGACAGGTCTGAAGTACGGTTGACACCTCCAGTAGGGCACCTTCTTGTACGAGCCGCCCCACAGCTGCTTGTCTCCCGCTGTGATCACGTCCAGCTGCTCGATGTCAGGTTTGGCGAAGATCTCTTCAACAGTGGCCTCGACAAGCTTCACGACGCGCTCAACGTCATCAAACCGGTACTTTGTATTCATCTTGGCAACCTCTTGTCTGATGTCGGTGTGGACCTCCAAGAAGGGTCTGAGGACTTTGAAGATGTGCGATTTCATCGCAATCTTGGAGGCGTTGCCAGGACAGTCCTTGACGATTTCGTAGTACTCCCTCAGTATGTGGTCGACCCGTGGGAACTGTCTCTTGAGGTCCTCCTCGGCATCAACAAACACCCCTGGGTTGTACAGATTGCCCTCTGCGCTCATCACTGCATCGCAGCCAATCTCAGTTAGACACCTTGAGATGTCATCTGGGTACAGGATGTTGCCGTTAGCGAAGAACACCGTATCCTGTGGCAAGTTGTCTCTGAGGTACTTGATTATCGACCAGTCAGCGAGTCCGGTTTTCTGGCCCTTCATCTCCCTCGTACGTCCATGAACTGTGAGGAACTGTGCGCCTGCACTGAGAACCATCTTTGCGTATTCCAAGGTCTTTTCACGGTCTTCAAACACCCTGATCTTCGCAGTCACCGGGACATCAAGCTCTGTATGTAGCTTATTGATCAGCCTGTAAATGAGATCCCAGTTCTCCATCAAGAAAGAGCCGTAGTTGCCCTTTCTGGCAATCCCCTGTGGACACCCCAGGTTCAGATCAACCGCGTCGCATTTACCAACCACATGCTTAGCAGCCTGTAACAGATATTCTGGGTCATTGGCGCAGAATTGAACAACAAGTGGGCGGTCTTTGCCAGCGTCACCGTCCCATTCACCCCACATGTCCTGTCTGTACTTCTCACTTGTGGCAAACAGCCGGGCATGGAACATCGGTGTGTAGCACAGCGTGGCGCCGTATCTACGTGATAGTATTCTCCATGCCAGTTCACTTTGATCAACCATAGGCGCCACGATTCGCTTTGGGGAGCCAATAGACTCATAGAGCTCTCTTCCTTGAAGTTTTGTCATGCTTGAACTGCTTGATCTACTGAGAGTCCTCAGGGTTAACAACCTACTAGGAAACAACAACTTGGGACCGCTTTGATGTGTAGAAAGATGGTATAAAATGATGATGTTGAAAGATTTTTTTCCCACTCTTCCTCTTCTTTTTCGGTATAGTGGAGTTCTGCGATGAGATGAGCAAGAAAAAAAGTTTCAAAAGGAAATTTACAATATATCGTTAAAAAAGTACATCACGCAGTTTTACAATATGCTGTGATTCACTATACAAACATCGTACTTACTCAACGATCTCTTCAGTCTCCTTCAACACCTCCTCTTTGATTTCCTCAATAACCTCGAGGTCCTCGTTGTCATGGGAAACCTCCACGATACCGTATTGCTCCTTGTGGGCTGCAACGTTTGCTCTGAATGCGGTCCACTCCTCCAATAGACGACGTCTCTTCAGGATCAACTCTCTGGCAGAGGAGGAATCCTCCATGAGGTCGGTCTCGTCGAATTGGGCACTGTACTCACGCAAGTTCTTTCTGACCTTCTTCTTGTCACCACCTGTCAAGAGAGAAGCTGGACGTGGTCTCCAGATGAAGTCCTTGAATCCATCAACCAGTTCTTCTCTCAACAACTCACCGGCAAAGTTGAAAAGTCTGTAACCATTTTCAATCTTATGGGTCCAGATGGAGGACCAAGCAGCGACGAATCTTCCAGATGGGTCCCATTCCACATCAGTCATACCACCGTACTCATCTGATGCTAAGAGTCTAACGTTGGCAGCAACGTTCTCATTCTCAGACTTTTCACCGTTGTAGTCCAAATCGTAGAACTCCAGGAATCCCTTGGAACCACCAATACGTGCAACAACAAGGAAACGGCCCTTTGGAGCAAATTTCAGGGTGTTGGAGGTTTGATCAGCCAAGGTCTTGAAGCAGATCCACTTCTTCAATGCACTAGCTTTGTCCTTGGTGATCTCTGGTGCATAAAACTCAACATTGTTCTTAACAAATGTTTGGTTGGCTCCAACAACTTCTGGTTTGGAAATAACAACAAATCTATCTCCATTTGGTTCCCATTGGAAGTTAATGACACGGTCCTTGAGCTCAATTTTTTCAACTGGAATCTCCTTCTCGTTGAGTTTGAAGAACTCCAAGTTACTAAAGATTGTCTTCTTGGATTTAGTGTGACGATCCACCTTAACAGCCAAGTATTCGGCCTTGTCTTGCCAGTGCAACTTACAGTCCGAGACCTGGAACAAGTTGATAGTTCTCAAAACCTTCTTAGTTGGAACTTCAAACAATGCCACTCTAGCAGTCTGGTTACCACTTTCTGGTGTCCAATAGGCCAAAACATGAGCCAATGGATCATTTTGTTTGCTGCTGGCAAACTTGACACCAGCAGGAGCCCATTCAAAGTCAACAATATCATCAATCTTGACAGGCTTCTTATCCAACAGAGAAAAGTTGTCAGCTGTGTCGTAGATGGCCAAGGCATTTGGACCCATTCTGGCAACGTACTTGTCGTCGTAAGACCACTTGATCAATGGCCAAACCATTTCTTTAACCTTCTCCAAGTGTGGTGGGAGAGCAAAGGTACGTGCTGGCAAACCAGTAGCGATGTCCCAAATAATCAGCTTATGGCCTTCAGATTCTGGACCGAATGGGAAACTGGCCCTCTTTGGGTGATCTTCTGGTGGGAGGACTATTGGATCTGGGGACAGTGTAACGAGGTATCTCTCTGAAGGAGAGAAGTCGATCAGACGAACCTTAGGGTGTGAGAATCTCTTCAAATTCTTAAAGTCCTTACCACCCCAACACTGAATACCTTGAGGATGGATGGAGAAGGCGTATTGACCCTTTGGTGAGAATTTAATGAAACCATCAGTCCAGCCGACTCTTGGCTCAATGACTGGCTCTGGAGCATGTTTCTTCTTATTCCAGAAGGCACCGACGGTATCGTTCTTGTGCAACAAGAATTGGTCACGTCCAGCCTCATCCTGTAACCAAGATTTCAAATAATCAGTCTCTTGGAACGGTGGGAGGGTTGGCTCAACAAACTCATCGGTGATGTTACCACTAATAGCGTATTTTTCAACGTCATTCCATCTGTTAAGGAACAGACGATGCTTAACATCCAACTTCTTACCGTTCAAGGCCTTGATGGCCTTGTCAACGTTTTGTTGCGATTCATACTCAACAAAGCAGAACCCCTTGGTCTTCCCATCTGCCAAGGGCATGTGGAAGCTCACAACGGTGCCAGCCTGGGACAACAACTTGGTCAACACTTTGGTCAACACCGGAACCTTAGCCTCAGGCGCAACTGGACAGCCATCGACAACGACAAAACGCTCAAATGTAGTATCCTCTGGCACAGCGTACTTCTCCTCCAAATCGGAGAAGTCGATATCGTCAACAGAGATATCTTCGATCTTTGGTTCTTCAAGAGTCATATTTCTAAGCCTATGGAGAACTGTAACAACCTCGTTTACGAAAGACCCGTTGTTATGGTTGTTGTTGATTGTGGAAACTTTTCACTTTTTTTTTCGCAATGACGATGCATTCTTCCCGAAACGGAAATGGTTCTGAGCACTGGCATATTTCCTCATCTGGAGCGCGCGTGCGCGCACATTCACGTCAAATGTTTCACAAACTGAAAGGATGTAAACAATGAAACAACAGGCCTGTTGAAAGGAGAACGTATTGCTGGAGGCGCTGTGTTTTTGTTTGTGAATTGCTCACGTTGGCCTGATTGCGACGTCACAAGTTCATTGTCGAGGGTTGTCTGGCTGATTGATTGATTGTTCAAGCGGTGATTCTGTTGGTGTTTATCTCAATCTACAAAGAGGTAAACAATTGAGATCCACCAGGGCGGCACGGTGATTGAGACCGAAGATGGAGACAGAGTTGAGCTCCTTACGCTCTAATGAGTCTCTCTCTGATATGACAAACGAACTCAGGGGGCTGGAGATTGCCGAGAAGGGCGGTGAGGATATGGATCATGGTGATGTTGGGAGTGTCCCCACAACACACCTTGGTTTTGAAGAAGAGTTTGACGATGATGAGGAGAATGAGTTTCTCAACTCAAGTTCTTTCCTGTCGAACTCCCAGATTATAAGGTCCACAAATGTCGCAAACTTCAACCCGACGGTGCGGAATACCTTGCAAAGTCCTACAAGAAGAGATGACCAGGCAAGACATGAACCAGATTTGTCGAAAGGGGAAGAAGGTCTGAGCACCCAGCAAGGGTTCGACCAGGGTGGTGAGGGTGAGGATTTTAATAATGAAGAGATTGGGATTTACGATCATAATGAAATATCGGTTTTCCCAAGCGACGATGAAAAATCTACACGATTCATCGATATTGATGATCCTAGATCAACACCAAAACTACCAAAGATGCATCCAAATTTCACACCCTGGAGAAACCTACGTCCAACTAGTAGTATACGTGTGAAGGAAACACGCAATGAACCGTCCATTGACTACGTGCAGTCCTTATTTGAATCAGATGCACCGCTTTTTGAGGCGAACTCGCCTGCAAGATCTGTATCTCTTTTTGACATTGCCAGTAATGATGGTACGTCTGGATCTAATGCTGCAGCTGCAACTTCCACTGTTGAGATGGAAGACCTCAGAAAACAGATAACAAACTACAAGCTGCAACAGAGAATTCTCACTGAGGTGATTCGTGAAATATTGAAACTTTCAGGTAATGGGGACCAATTGAAGTCTGAACTCATGCAAAGAATAGAAAATGAGAATGTCCTACTAATGGCTGAACGTGATAATGTGAAAGATAGTATAAAGAAAGAAGAAAACGAAACTCTTACAAAGTATAATGAAAAGGTAAAAGAACTTGTTGACTTAAAGGGAGACTTGATATCGATGAAAAACGTCAATGAAGAATTACAATCAACACTTGAAGGTTACAAGTCTCACATCAATGCACAAGAAGAGACCATTAATAACCAATATACAAACATAGAAGTATGGACAAAGTTATGTGATGAAATACTTGAGATTCTTCTACAATATATTGATGGTGATTCCGCTAAGGCCATGCAACGTGTCAGATCCGGTACGCTGAGTATCACTACAGCACTTAACGTTATCAAGTTCTCTATTGATGAACTGGGTCAGAAGATCTTATCCATCTCCAAAGACTTAAAGGCTGGTGATGAAAATGAACGAACATTGCCAATAATGCATGAGTTCTATGCTAAGTTGACAAATGTCAAACAAACAGAAGAAAAGCTTAAAACACTTTGGAATACGCAATCCACATTGGTGTCGTCTTTGAGATCTGAAGTTTCGAAACTCCGTCGTGACTCTGAAGACAACGGCCGGTATGTGACAAACCTTCGAAAGCTCCTCAACGAAAAAAGGTTAAAAATATCATCTTTGAATGAGTATATCAAGGAGCTTGAGTCACAAATAGAACAACTCAAAGATGAAGATGGTTTTGATAGCAGCAGGGAAACCCAATTGTTGAAGAATAGACTCACCATTTTGAAAACCAATCATGCAAAGGAAGTTGAGGCACTCAAAGACTCTATAGCACACTTAACCATTGAGCTGGAGCAGAACAAAGGAAACATTGAACTTGAGCATGAGTTATCGAGGAAGAGAAGACAAATCACAGATTTGGAATCTCAGATATCATCTCTTCAATCTCAATTGTCGGATAGAACTCGTGATATGGACTCCGCTGTTGACAGTTTAAAGCGTACCCTACAAACTACACGCGAAGAATACGATTCACTACTCAGAGAATGTAATCACCTCAAGAGCAAGTTAAAGGATGCACAAGACAGAGAAGATGCAAAGGAGAAAGAATATAGGAGGAAATTGGAACATGCTGCAAAGGAACTTAATCTTGCAGTCATGAAACAGAGAGCTTTGGCTGCTGAGAAGAGTAAACTACGATTTTCTCTTGAAGATTGCAAAAGAGAGCGATCTGCTCTAACTCTTAACAACAATACCTTAAGTGAGAAGGTTGATCGTTTAAGCTATGACTTATCATCGCTGACTAATTACGAAGTTGGATTCAAAAGTCTCTTGGATCTTCAGGTGCATCATCTGAGGAATATGTTGGATGACTTTGAAGCTGTACTTGAGAGATCATCTTACATTCAAGCAAAGCAAAAATTAGATAAACTATTAGATTCAAACTTGGACTTTGAGATGACACATTCAATTGTTCGATCATTGTTTGCCTTTTTTGAAAACGCTATGGGCTCACTGATTGAGGACCATAAAAACATGCTAATGAACAACCACGAAGAGGAGCTTGCTAACGAGAATGCGGATCTCCACCAACAAGTTGAGACCCTTCAGCAAGAACTTCAATGGTACTATGAGAATGCCAATGTTGATCAGGACAGTCCTAGAACGAAATTGAGAATCAGTGATCTGGAGAAGAAGCGTAAAGCTGAACGTGAGAGACGTCAAGTGGAATTCAGAGAATCACAGATTCTGGTTAGAAAATTGGAAGATGAGAATCGTTCTCTAAAGGAAAAATTGGCATCATTATCTACAAAGTAATGAATAAAGGGCCCGAGATGGAGTTTACTTATGATATTCTAAAACAACTTTCTACGCCTAATCGGACATTGTTTCGTCGTCATCGCTTTCCTCGTTCAGCTTTGCCTCGGCGTACTCTTTGGCCTCCTGTAGCAGGTCTTCTGGGACAAACTGGTGGGTGCCGTTGGTCTCAGACTTTGAGCACCATGTGATTTCGATTTCAAAGTCTTTATCCTTGTTATCCTCATGGGCCAAATAGATGATTCTGGCAGCTTCCTTTACCGCATCCTTTGCACTCAACGTAGCCATGTCTAACTTCTCTAGCTCATTCTTGGCACTCTGTCTACCTTTACCTGTGGCAGCACCGTGATAGCCCCAGTATGTTCCGCTTGGTTCCAACATGTACAAATGTGGTCCGCTTTCATCAATACCACCAATGATGGTTGTTACGCCAAACGGTCTCACAGAGTTGTAGCACGTGTATGCCTGTAAGAACCCGCCAATACGGTCTATTAGGTAGGGAACTGTGATTGGCTCCTTGTATTGACTCATGTAAGTTTGATATTCACCTCTACATTTGCTGACGAGGTTTCTTCCATCTGGGAGCATACCGGAGTAAACAACACCAATGTGCTTGCCCACGGTCTGGATACGGTTGTTCTTATTTGGCACGAGCAGTTTGGAGGTGACGATCTTCTCCACCGCAAGCACAACACCGTCCTGGCACTTGATACCTATTGAAGTACCACCGTTCTCCACTGCCTTCGAGGCATACTCTACTTGGAAGTTTCTCCCATCTGGAGAGAAAACACTATTGGAAAGATCGTAACCTGTACCGACAGACGTCTGGCAATGGAAATGTTAGTGAAGGTGAGGGCAATCGACACGATTCGATCGTACGTACCATGATTTACACGGCTAATTGGTGAAGAGAGATATGAACGCTTTGTTGATTGTTTGTTGTTCTTTCAAGTGTTTGAAGGCTCGGTTTTGCCTCCCAGTTTGGATCTTTTGTTTGGTGTACGGATGTATGGGCTTTTTCTCCCACGCGCTTCTTGTTGCTGTTTGTATGTATTTCCAAGTTCAGCAGTTAAACAATGGAAGCCAGCGGCGGTGAGCATGGCCAATGAGAGGTTGTCTAGTGCGTTAGAGTCGATATGCTCCTCTGGGAGCCCCAAGGTTGCGTTTGTTAGCTCTTCGAGGGTTTCTAAGCATCTCAAGAAGCGTGTTGATAAGCAAATACAGTCGAACAAGACATATCAGTTCTTCCGCAGTATTTCAAAGAGAAGGCTCAGGTCGTCGTCTGTTGAGAATCTCTACAAGGTTTCTGGTGGCTTTAGACCATTCGATAGGGGTTTACTGCTGGATAGGATCTCTAGCTTCCAGAGCCGTGTCAGCTGGAACATCTCGAGTGAATCCTTGACACCGCTGTCGTTATCATTGGCTGGTTGGAGTTGCGATGCTCGCAAGCAAAACACCATTACCTGTGGCTGCTGCAATGCCAGTGTTCTTATCAAGCTGCCAGAAGCTGAAGTCACCGGTGACGACGAGACTGATCTTGTCTCCATCAGAATGGTGGATAAAATTGCAGAGAAGTACGTTGCCAAAGCACAAGAGTTCCATAGGGAGAACTGTCCCTGGAGGAAACAACTTACGCCTTTTAGCGTCTATGAGATCTCGTTCGGTAATATGACCCGTGAGCTGGAATCATTTCACGAAAGGTACCGTCATAATTTGAACTTTGCTGTCGACATTGAAGCTATGGAGTTCCATCCTGTTTTAACAGGTGAAGAATACCAATACGTTGAATCGTATCTGAAACAGCACCACTTGGATGTGAACAAGGAGGTGATTCTTGTGACTCTACTAGGCTGGACTGTTGAACGTAAGGGCTCCAGCTCGCTTCTGTTGTTGACATCACGGTCAGATGCTAGAAGAGTAATCGTAACAGATAGTGCTGTTGATCTCGTTGCAGAACACCACAAGTGGTCCTGTTTTGTACAGGGCTATAGAGTTCTCTTGCAGATATTCAAATCAATAGCAGCACGAGACGTTGAGTCGCCATCAACTGATGACGGCGTGGAACTGTCTGATGGTGTGACAAGCAGGGAATCAAACGCAGGAGCTAAACTGGACAAACTACGGAAGGTGTATTTTGAATAGCTAGTTCAGTCTTAAACTATAAAGAAATCATATCACATTGCATATTAATATCCACTGTATCCACACACTTCTGACATTGTTACTCTAGGGCCGTCTACACCCCCCTCCTTCGAATATATACTTATCAGTATAGTTATGTTTAGTTTTGATCTTTAGCCTCGCTTGTTCATAGGCACTCGATATGGTGTTGTTCATGAAGCGAGTCGTCATTAGTTCTGCTTCTGAGGAGCAGTTTCACCAATTGGCAAATAAGTTCCAAAGATCTTGTCCCAGAACCAACTCGTAACACCGAATCCCAATTCGTAGTTCTTGTAGTGATGTTCCAAGTGGTATTTCTTGAGCTTTTGCATGTACGCAGGTAGTCTTGCATGGTGTAGGAAGTAGTGCGTCATGTCGTAACAGATGTAACCCAAGAATCCACCAGCGAACCCGGCACAAGCCATGTAGAATGGGAATATTGAAAAGATGAGCTTATAGAATGGGTAGCACAACACGACAAACAGTGTTGGAGGCATAACCAATCTATAACGGTCCATTGGTAGGTAGTGATGGACACCGTGGAGCAAGAAGTGGACTGTGAAGGCCACTGGATGGTCTGGCAAATAGTAGTCCAGGTGGAATAAGAATCTGTGGAGGCAATATTCGATGAGAGTCCAAACGAACAATCCAATGGAAAACAACGACAATCCCAGGAACAAGTTCAAGTTTGAGAGACCCAAATAGAGAAGAAACAAGTCCACAGGGAGCCAAACCGTTGGCACGACCCACCATGGAGTCAAAGAAACAGGCTCCAAAAAGTTACCAAAGAGCGGAGCAGAACCTTTACCGTAGTGTCTTGGTCTATGCACCTGGTCCAAGTAAAACTCTTTCGAGAAGTCAGCAAACAGCACCTGCAACAACAGAGGCTTGGTCAAGTCCAAGAACTTGTGGTTCTTCAAATCCCTGTCAAAGTCCGTCACGATGTTGAGCTTCTCATAGGCAGGTGTACCGTGCATAGCTGTTGAGTCAAACTCCTCATCCAGCTTAACCTCCTGCGAGTGCTTTGGATTAGCTAGAAGCTCCTTCTCCTCCTCTGCAGTGGCCAAATAGCCCACGAGGTAGTTCTCATCCAGCATCTCATACGTCATTTCGGAGTGTAAATGTGAGGACTCATCGGCCAATATGTCCGTGATGTCCTTACCACCCCATTCGAGGATGAGCTCATCTCCACCTGGATGTTCATCGAGGAAGTCTGTCACGTCATAGATCTTTCTGTGGTAGAGCGACACCCAGCAGTCCTTCTCGGTGTTGTGAGAGGCCAGGTCGCTCTGTGCAAATAGCGGTAGTGTGGACATTGTATTCACCCGAGACGAGACGTTTCTTAATAGCCGTGTAGGTCGAGGCGCTTTGAGAATGACAAAGAGATCAACCAATTAATCCCACTTGTATCTGTAGATATCAGCGGTTTAAGAGAGAAAACAGAGGTAATCAGAAGAGAGAAACAAAAAGACAGGTGATAACAACAACGTCTCTGTTTCCTTTTAAATGATTTCTTTCTTTTTGTTTTTTTTTTAGGTTTCTACCCCTATGCGTAAACGAAGTATTTGAAAGTTTGAACGTGATTTTTTTATAGGCAGTTCCCGTTCTGGAAAATGTATGTGGTGTTTTTCCTTTGCGTGGCCATGCGAGATTTTCTACTCAGCCCATTTTTTGTGTGCGTGTGTGCTGTTTTTCTGTCTGAGTTTCCTCTCTGTGATGTTTCCTAGGCAACAGAAGGCGAAAGCGTTCATGGATAATCGGGATGATCGATTGAATCGTCTCATGACCACTGTTTGTTGTCCGTGTGTGTGTGTTCACAGGATGTTCACAGGATGTTCACAGGATGTCCACAGCACGATCTGGCACCACAGAGACCACACCTGATGTGCGGATGTGGCTATGCCCAAGTAGTCGTACTAGCAGAGTACCACTTATGGACGCCTCCTTCTTAGCACGGTGCGTATGCCGGTATAACTACAATCTACCAAATCTGCATATATGCCAACCAAGTAGTACCTCACCAACCAGGCCGTGCACCGTTAGCGGGAGACACTTGTCGACTGCGGTGCCACCTCACCCTGGGGTTGGCTACTTACAGTTGGAAGATCCACATCTTCCCTGACCACTTGGAAGACCACCTACTCGCCACAAGTGGTCAGTGGCTCTGCGCGGTCTTCTCTTTCTGGTATATCTGTGCCCAGTGGGGTTCTTCCTCGAAATGTCCAGGAACCAATATCTGACAGTGGTCTGGATGCCCTTTAAATCATCCAATACGTTACGCTTCCAGAGTTGTCACTTGTTTCAGATATCTCCTTGTCTCTTTAAAATAAACTAAGCATAGCTATAAAACCGTCCAATTCCTGAACAAAGATTACTAAGCAACCGCGTTGCTAAATCTTACGCGTAGACCATCATGTCCATTTTGTCCGTTTTGTCCATTTTGTCCTTTTTGTCCATTTTATCCATCTTCTCGATCTTGTCCATTTTGTCCATTTGGTTCCTGAAAAAAGGAAAAAAACTGCTCCACAGTCTCCGGACATGTCGACGCGTTCCTGTGTCTGTGTTTTTCGCCTTTTTGTCCAAATCTTCACCGAACCGTTTTTCGTAACTGAAATTTTGGCGTACAGACGAAAGACAGAGCGGGAAACAAAAGCCATAACAACAGCCATTGAAGTTTTGTTTCTTGAGACGGCGACTTCTTTGCGGATTTTTTGGTTACTTTAATCTTGTTTTAAAGGGATAAACATCACAGCCTACACCATTGGTTATCTTTCATTCACTCATCCGTTCCTTATTCGTAAGATTCCATTTGGTTTTGCTTGGTTCTTTTCTTGGATTGATTTTGGCCATCTGAGTTTGTTAATCTTGAAACCCTGCACTTTATCGTCCAAGCGCTGGCGATCACTCTATCTCTGTCTCAGTGGTCACACTTTGAAACACTTCGCTACGTTCCACGGCGTGTTCTAGTCCAAAAAGTACTAGGATTAAGGTATTCACATGTCAGGAGGCTCGATTGGTCCCGGATCCACGGGCAGACCCACGCTTCGCAGGGACATCTCAGATCATCATGGGGAACACAACATGGAAAAGTCAAAGAGAAAGTCGAATGCCTACTTGGCCGCAGAGGCTGTTCAGCAGGAGCGTGATGTTCTCAAAGCTTTGAAACGGCTATCAATGAGTGGGTCTTTGACAATGGACCCTGATTTACCAGCAGAATATGACTTACAGGATTACCAGAAGAAACAGCAGAGGAAGAGCACTGGCTCCATTTCGTCGTCGAGCTCCTCGTTCGATGATGATAACGACAGCTCATTTCTTGACCATTACGTCAACAATTCGTTTGAAGGCTTGACGGATGACGTTGGTGGTACAGACGGCGTCTCTTCTAAGCAGATTGATACTGAGAAATTGCTCTGGGTCCCTGCAAAGGCTCATCCAAGCATAGCACCGGACCAGTTCAAGAGACACGTACAGTCTACGCTGGATGATATGACGAAGAAACTGCATAAGAAAACAAACGAACCAATACCTTCTTTGAAGGAGTTGACAGATGAATTGGATAAGTTATCTGAAATGGCAGGGCTATCTGCAACAGATGCGGTTTCATTGGCTCGAAGCTTATCCAGTGCAAGCTCTTCTTCATCATTTGTATACTCACCAACGTCTGAAACTTCTGAGGAAGTTAATCGTCAATCTGAAGATGAAATTGATCAAGACTCCCCGTTGATATATACCGATTCATCGAATTCATTGAAGAGAAACAAATGGACAACTTATTCAAGAAGAAGACCTCCAAGGTTTGATAAGAATAAGCTTGATAAGGATAGTCTAGGAAAACAATCGTTGCTAAAGGATCCTTCTTCTACTGAAACCAGTGACTCTGCTCTTCAGAAACAGCGTGAGACGCACAATGAGCTGGATAATACGCAACCACAGGATCTGCAGAAAGAACAGCAGCAACAACAGGTATCACAGAAGAAGTTACAGCATCCATACCGACCAACTCAGAGATCTGTGTCATCCTCTGATGATTTCAACAACAGAGATGAGATCAGTGCTACAAATCTTCAAAGGTCACAATCTGATATAAGCTCGTCATCGGCGATTAAACGGACGAACCACGCAAGAAACAGACATACTGGCTCAGTTATTGATCTGACAGAGAACACCGTACAGTTAGAATCACAGTCACAGAGTCATGAAGGAACCAAAGAATTTCCTCAACAGTCACTGGTGCTCCCACAACATCAACCTCCTCAGCAGCGGAAAGTATCACCTTTGAGTCATGAAGTACAGGAAAGGCCCTCTTTGACTTCATCTTCAATGTTAAGTAAGCCAGATGCCACCGTGATATCACAAGACGTTACAGAAGCACCAACTCCATTGGGTAGCCCAAAGGAGAAAGAAAAGGAGAAGGAAAAATCTATATCAAAGGAATTCTTGAATCTGTTCAAGATGAAGCGTTCACCTTCGCCAAAGCTGAAGGAAAGCAAGAAGATCATCACCTCATCGAAAACATCTGTTGTTGATTCTACATCGGATTCGAAGAAATCACCAGATGACTCGCAACAACAGAGATCTTCTACCAAGGAACAAAAGGGTTTCAGGATTCCATCGCAAAAGTCTGGTCATCTCCCCTTTATGAAGAAGGATGATAAGACAAAACAACAAAAGACAGTACAAGAATCAGTCACCGTTGCACCCAATGAGATCACACAACAAGACGAACATCAATCTCAGAAGCAGCACAAGCAGCAGCAGCAACAACAACAACAAAAGCAACAACATCAACGACAGTATCTGTCGACACAACAACACGTACCACAGCATCCCCAAGTACACCAAGAACAAGCAAGTGATTACCCTGGTGGCTTGACTGAGGAACAATATCACACGAAGAAGGAATCACTCGCTCGTAAACTAACAGAATGTACAGAACTGCAAAGATCAACGAAACCCAATGCTCCAATGCAATTCACCGATTCTGCATTTGGGTTCCCATTGCCTCCAATGTCCCGTTCCACCATTGTCATGTTGGATTACAGATTCCCAGTTCATGTGGAAAGGGCATTATACCGTCTGAGTCACTTGAAATTGGCAAATCCAAGAAGACCGTTGAGACAGCAAGTTCTACTATCCAACTTCATGTATGCGTACTTGAATCTCGTGAACCATACACTTTATCTTCAACAATTGGATGAAGAACAAAAGGACAATGCAGTTACTACCGGTGGTGGTATTGATACACGTACAGATTTCCACTGAAATCATTTGTTCTGGTGAACAATTTACAGTGATATATGGAAACTGAAATGAACTCTTCTCTTTCTCTATTAACGACTCTAATGTTATATTCATCTTTTACCAATGCAAACTCGTAGCATGCGTTACGCTTCTGTATACTCTGACTGTGTGAGAGGATAGAGAAGTTCTTTGAACAGGTATGCCCCCAATGCTAATAAACAGTAGTATATATATCTCCACGACTTCCACCTTGGTGTGTCAACCGAGATTGATGGCACCCCCATGTGATTGCAGAATGAGTGTGCAACAATACATCCCCATACGTTTCTTTGTCTCAAGAAGACAAAATCTGTGAATATTCCAAAAAGCAAGGTATAGAGAACCTGGAACGCTGTTGAGAGGACAATCGTCGGCACTGGAGCAGCTCTATTCATATAGAGCTCGATGCCATGATGAACATGTGCAAGACTGAAGAACAGAGGTGGTAGCATGATCAGTATCTTGTCCGATGACGTATAAGGCGACTGTGATAATGTCGTGATGATTGCAGCTGTATATAGCACTTCCTCCGTTAATGGAGCAATGATAACATCCCTTATACCTCTCAGCGTCGTGAAATGGTCGACAAAGAGCTTCAAGGTGTACAAAGCATCTCCAGTTTCAACAACATCGTTCAATATTGGCCCGATGAAGAGAGCCATCATCAGCAACAGGGTATTAAAGATATCCTTCGCAGAGCTCGGAATAACACCCATCTCACCAAAGATCTCTGAGCCAGACTTCCCAGTGAGCCATGATAATACAAGAGGCAGAGCAATTATCGTAAAGACCGTGAATATCGTTATAGCTGTCAGTCTTCTCCGTATCACAACTGGATCGTTTCTATTCATCCGTCCTTCGGGAATCTTTATGTGAAGTACAGCCACATAGAGAAACGATATCAGCAGAGAAATCGATATCGTGATACCAGCAGACAATGCCATGGTGCTAGATGATCAATTGATACCCTCTGGATAGGAGGACTACCCATGAATCCTATAGCAGCCAATCATCAACATCAGAAGAGAAAAAAAATTGGTGTACTTCATCTACGCATTGTCTATTCCGAAAACGGAAATACTGACCGAGGGCATCTACGCAGAACTTCATCATCAAAGAGAACGACAATAGGGTAAATCATGGCCTGGAGAAGGTCAGCTTATATATGGAGAGTGTCAGTACACTGATGAAGCCAATTGCACTGGCGCCAATGACGACATTGGACAAGTGATCCGGCTGAACCTCCGGTTCCAGCCCTGGGGTAGCGATGCTAGGCTGGTGAGATGCCTCAACGAGTTGGATGAAGAGCTCCGACATGGATGACGACCACGTGGATGATATATGGAGAGGTGGAGGCAGGTACAGTGACTGTGCGAAGTCCTCGGGCTGGGTGTCGCACCGTTGCTGCTGACGATCACGGTCAGCCTTGAGAGCAACAATGATTGTGGGGATCTTGTTGATCAAGGGATGTTTCTGGAACAGTTCGATGATATAATGGAAACTGTCAGGATCAGAAGAGTCGTAGGCCATACATAGCACATCGCACTGTTGCAACCGTGCCTCGTTGTCCAGGATTGCAGGTTCGAGCTCTGCCAGCTCCTCTAGAATCAAATACACTTGTTTTCCTCCCTTCAGCTCGACACTGTTCACAACGATCCGAGGCTTAATAGTTGGATTGTAGACCTCTGAGTACTGTCTTCCGAGGAAGGCCTCCAGTAGAGAGGATTTACCACTCTTAGGTCCTCCAAGGACATAACAGTTGAACACAGTACGGTCGTTGACGTTGACCCGAACCTGTGATCCATTCTTAGTTCGTTCCTTCCTTGCCTTGGTGACTTTCAATGCAGCAGTCAGTCCATTCTTTGATTCGAATCCCAGATACGCGAGGTACGATAGCGTGATCTTATAGTCGAGGAAAGTTGTCATGCTCCACTGGGCAAGCCATCCTTGTAACGTCACATAGCCTTGCTCATTTCTCACTGTCGTCTGTGGGAAGTTCGTTTCAACCCACGCTTCTGGTATGCCAGGAGTCGGTCTGAACAAAGACCTGATCTCCTGGTCGTTCAGTCCACCATCGTTGTCCTTGTCAAAGAGTAGGAACAGATCGACAAAGAATCTGTAGCCCATGGGACTCAGCTCAACGCTCGAGTTTCTTGGAACGTCCAGCTTAGGAAGAAGGAACCTGTCGTTAAGAGACAGGGAGTCTGTGTAGTGGAAAGTACGCAGTATTCCCCAAGTGGTTTCATGTCTTCCACGCTCAGCGAATATCTTGTTCAAAATGAGGAACCCGTCCTCTGTTAGTCCACACTCAGAGAATGAGCCGTTCTTGACACCGTTAACAGTTTGTTTAATATCAGCTATATCATTGATGTCCAAGCTTCTTCCAAAGCATTTCATCTGTAACGCTAAGAACTCATCCTCGCTCAGATAGCCGTCTTGGTCCTTGTCAGATAGGAAGAATATCCTTGACAGTGCGTCCACAGCGTCCTGTTTCAAGTTGCCCTCTTTGGCATCATAGAGAGGTGATATTGGATACGTGACGGCTCTCTGGCACAGATAGAAGGCCTGGTTGATGTTGTACTTATCCCTGGCGCTGCATCGTATACAGCTCTCAACCTCCTTGAACTCCTTCAATATCGGTATGAATTCATCGTGAATGACTCTGTCTGAGTCCAGCCCGACGTCTGCCTTGTTGGCACACAGAACGACTGGTAAGTTGACGCCCATTGAGCGGAACACATTCATCCAATAAAGGGAGATTCGTTCATACGTGTAGTGGTCAGAGTACACTAGCCAAATGACGTCTGCCTTCCGTATCTCATGCTGTAGAGCCGGTATGTCCTGTGAGTTTGTATCCACCAGTATTGTCGAGTTGGGAGAGTACCTGGACGAGCTGAAGTCTCTTGGAATTGTTATAGGTGGTAACACATCCTGGATATTAGGTACGAAGGCATCCTTCACCAGCGCAGTAATCAGGCACGATTTGCCAACACCTGTGGGTTCAATGTGACCGTTAGTACTAATATACACGTATTTGCTATCGTGCCACGGTGTTTAGCATACCTTCGTCACCACAAACAACGACTCTGATGGTATCTTTCGACATTGTCTGTTGTTCTTACGCTGCTGGTGAACTGTAGAGGTTCAAGATGAAAGTTGAAAATGGGGAAAGGCCACACACGTCAATGTGGTACGACTACGGCTCTACACTGACTACGGAGGGCACCACGCTGGGCCAATTGGCATAACAAAAGTCTTCATTATTACACTATATCATTGCTTACTTTTCTAGTCCAAAACCTAAGAAGTGAACTCCATGATGGCGTTGACCAAGTCGTTGTCGTGCTTCTTCAAAGCCTTAGCAGCCTTGGCTCTGGAGACACCAGCTTGCTCCATGACAACCTTCAAGTTCTCCTCGGACAAGCCAGTCTCGTCAACTTCCTCGTCGTCCTCCTCCTCAGCAGCTGGGCCAGAGATGGCGGCAGCCTCCAAGTCAGCAGTGATGGAGGCTGGGTCCTTTGGAGCCAACTCCTCCTCAGCACCAACTTGCTGTTGAGCCTGTTGCAATCTCTCGGTCAAGTCCTCGAGCTTGGCCTCACCAAAGACAATGTAGGTACCGGCAGCAGACTTGTAAACGTCTGGTCTGTCAATGGCGTAGATCTGGTTACCAGCCTTTCTGAAAGTGACTCTGGCAATTCCCTTGACTGGACGCAAGTTCAACTTGGCGATCAAGGCACGGGCCTTCTTCTCGTTCTTGGAGATGACGGTGACTTCAGCACCTTGTGGGATCTCTTCTGGCAACTCTTCGATCTTGGACATTGTTTAATTTGTACGTGTTGTGACGTTCTACTCAGCAGGGAAAAGGGAAGAGAAAAGTGCTTCGACGGTGAATTTTTCACTTTGTCGGCGTCGTCGACGCAGAGTTCGCCTTGGTGGTAGGGCCACACTTTTACGACGAGAGGGTAACCGTTAGTCGGTTGTATACGGCTCATGGCCATGGTGTGCTACTCTTTTGATGGTGTATATGTATAATACGATGGTACTGTTCATTAGTTCGTGGATGCCAGGTTCAATTGTGCTTGCCTTCTCTAGTTTTACAGTGGTGTTTTCGTTCAGTGCTTTCATCAGTCGTAACTCTCCAGCCTCGAGGCCCTCACTTCACGGCCACCACAGGGCACTCTGCCGACTCGACTAGGAGGCCATATGATCGCCGTGGCCTTTCCCACGACCAGGCCCGAGCTGATTGGTCCGAACGTGTTCGAGTCTATCGAATGGATGTTGTCGCCCTCCACCCAGAGGTGGTTGCGCGGGATGTGACAGTGATCCCTTGGGTACGGCGAGCGGGTCATGACCATGTCGCCTTGTACACCTTTGACACGTTTACACAGCACCTTCTCCGGGTTCTGGGGCGACCTGAACAGCACAACGTCGTCCACCTTGAGCCCATTGTGCTCTCTCAATCCAAACTTCCACAGAAAGACCCAGTCCTGCGAATGGTCGCTCGGGTTGAACGTTGGACGCATCGACGAGCCTTCAATCTTGCCGAAATAGCACACATGTTCATTGGCCACGATCATCACGGGCACCCACGATGCAACAACCAACGACGCGTTCTTCGCATACTCCAGTGACCTCTTGTTCCTTGTAAACCACGACATCGCCCTCTCGCCTCAGCTTGTCCCCGGTTGCTCGCTCCTCAAATTGCAAGCCTTCATCGAACTGTCCCGTGTAGTAGTAGTTAGTAGTTTCCATAGGAATGTATGAGCCTTCCGGCATGTATCGTGGTGTCTGGGTTTCCGGCCCTGTTGCCCCATGTGGTAAGCGGCCCGGACATGAGCACGAAAAGAAGCCTCGCAATAATCAAAACAAACATATGTCTCTCTCTCTCTTTCTCTCTGTTTCTTCTCTTCTGTCTGCATCTTAGATTCTGAGTATATATAAGAGGCCATGTCCGTTTCCCGTGGACAGAGGCCTGTTGTTAAAAGGAAGAGGACCGTCACTTCGTGCTCGCAATGTCGCAAGAAGAAGGTCAAGGTACGTATCTGATCAACGCCTCGGCACTTGATGTTGTCTCTACGATGTTGGCGGATGAGATCACTAACAGGCATTGCTCGGTATACAGTGCGATAAGGGAAGACCACAGTGCGATGTGTGTCTGAAGTCAGGTAATGGCGACCTGTGTCAATACCAGGAGCCGTCGTGGGAACAAGAGACGACGCTGTTCAGCACGAACTATACCACGGCTGCATCTGTCCCAATGGCACATATCCAGTTGAAGTCTTACAGTAAGAAGCAGCAATCAGATTCCAATGCCAATGTAGGCCCTTCAACAAGCTCGCAGGTGTTTAAGTTCCCGGTGGCATCGTCTGGTTCTTCTGAACAAGCGCAGAATCATCAACTGAAGCAAGAAGCACAGCAACGGAACCAGCAGGCACAGCTACGGGACGAAGAAGCACAGCTACGGGACCAGCAGGCACAGTATCGTCGCCAGGTACAATTACCGCCAAGCACAAATGTGCTATTCCGAGGTCAAACCACACAGGGAGGCCGTCTAGAGCTTCCACCTCTGGATCAGCATCGGACATCGATGTATCGATTGAACCAGCCAATACAGGTTGTGCCACATAGTGCAATCCCATTACCTCGTCATGTCGAATACGCAGAATCTAATCTACGCACAAGGGACACAGTTTCTGTTCACACAGTCGTGTCTAACACGTGTGATGTGGATAATCATAGCAGGCTACCGTTACCCAGACAACAATCGAACGATGAGCTGACGATAACTTTCTTCGAATTGGATGAGCCCATACATATGAGGGCTGGACGGCTGGTTGCAGTAGGGCCTTTATCCCTTGGTGCTGTAATTAGAAGTGATCCCTATGTGAGGATGACCCTTCTGAAAGCTAGAAGAGAAAGAAACGAGAATCAGGGTCCAACAGCGAATCGATTAGATAAGAAGGAACTGGTTAAACAGATCTTGCTGGATAAAGGCAATAAGAACCCTACGGTGGAAGAGGCTTTCCAAACCAGACTGCTAGAAAATGAGACATTGGACGAGGTGAAAGGTGCCACACAGAGAGTTGATACACAGCTGTTTGGAACAACTCGTGCTGATTATGAAGCTGATACAATCGATAGAATCGAAAAGGCATTGCCCACACAAAGGCTGATGTGGCTTCTAGTCGATAAGTTCTTCAAGGGGTCTATTTCTGTTTTTATGCCATTTTTGACCGAAGTGTTCTTCAGAGAAAGAATACAAGAACTACTGGGTGCACGTTCTGATGAGTGTGTTAGGTTTCCAAAGATAAAGATCACTAGAAGGTTCGATTTTGCCTATGTTGGTATGCTCTTCCTCATCATGAGGTTGACATTTCTCGGTATAAGTAAGACGGACCACAACACTGAAGAGGAACAGTACATATTAGACAATCCTATTGGACCACATGCCACCAATATCGCACAGATGTGTCTTAATCAGTTCAGATTGTTGAGACGTGGTGCCATTCCTGTTATCCAATGCTCTCTCCTAATGCGTATGTACCATAAGTACGCTCCTGAAGAAGGTGATGGTAGTGTTGGTGGTGACTCTGAGGTGTTTCTCGGTATGCTGTTACAAATGGCAAATTCCATTGGTATGAACAGAGACCTTTCACAGTCACCTCAGTTGGCGAAATTCCACAAGCTGAAGAATATTTGGAGGTTCATATGGCATGAGATTGTATCCTTGGACTTGGATCAAGCATTGATGAAAGGAAATCCCCTGCTCGTTGATGAAAATAGCTTTGATACAATGTTACCGAGCCTGAAGCATGAAGAGTCAAACTTTCAAGATTATCAACTGTTGGAGTGTGCTGTGAATAACTTCCAAATCACCGATGAGATCAATCAAATGGTTAGGAATTTCCTGAGGGATATCTTGAACATTAAACGTCCAGTGAGAGTGTCTGAGCTCTTGTTGAAGACATCTAAATTGGAGATTTATCTTGATACGAACTTCCAATCTTTAGAGGCAGTCTTGAATTTACCCATTGGCTCAGTAAGCCAATCTACGGTTAAGATCCACAAGTTTAAACATTATGTTGAACTGAAGACCTCTCTATACATGATTTATTTCCAAATATTTTGCAAATCCCCAACAGTGAACTATCCTCTTCTACATAAGATGTTCAGCATCTGTCTTGAAATGGTTCCTTTGTCATACATGCTATTGACAATTAACAATGGCAGAACCAATTACTTTGAAGAAATCTTTGGACCCAATGCACAGTTGATTCTGGTTCCAAGCATCTTTGCTCCGTTGCACAAGCTCTCAAATTTACTGGTTGCGTTCATTCTGAGGGCACTGGACAGTAAGTACAACCATCCACCCTCTGAGAAAGCGCAGATCATTTCTGGAATATTGGAAAAGCTAATGGACCACTACTCATTAGTTCGTGATGGGTTTGCATCTTTGAGTTCTTTCTACTACCATGCTTGGCGCAACTGTAAGAACTTTGATTTCCTTTATGACCTCTTGAAGGACGATTCTAACAGTATCATGGATAAAAATGCGCCTGTTAATAGAGACACGGCTACGCTCCCTGATGAAATCAACCATTTCAAGATCTTTCCCAAGAGGAATGAGCTGTACGAGATGACGCAATGGCAATTGACCCAGCTATCGGAACTTATCACGTCCAAGGGATTCGAAGATCCGATTTTGAAGAAGTTGAACACCAGTTCCAAGTACAAGACCCGTGGTAGCGGTGGTATCCGTGTTAAGGCTGCAAAGGAATCGTTGCACAAACGTCAGCAACTCGTCCCAGACAGTGGTGGTACACCTGACGAGATCCAAAAGCAGCCTGCTGATGGAATGACAACGTTACCACTGGCACAAGATTCCTCCAATGGGATGCATTCGCATACGCAGATGAGTTTAACTGATTCCAGCTCAACTCCTACAACGACATCTGCATCCGCATGCTCCAATTCACCGTCCCAAAGGTTCCACGTTAACCCCAATGTCATGACCAACGCGGAAATCGACATGCTTTGGTTACAAATGATGGCGACGAACACCGACGGTGACGAACAAGTAGCTGCTGTCATGAATGACGTGCCGGATGTTCCAACAGCCGAGGCGTGCGATATCCCACTGCAATTTGACCTCCCGTACGACATCTTTGGCGACATCTCGTCCTACTACGAGAGCATCTGAAAGTGCGCACTGCGCACTTTGTACAGCTTGCAGTCGTATGCAACCGTCTCGAGACTACGCTTTATGTACTCCACACTTCCCAATGCAACAGCTCTGAGTCTTACAACAATGCCATGTCTGTTGGCGTGTTCTCCACTGTAAAAACCCTCCAATCAGACTCCATCATTCGCATCAATGCTGGGTGTCTGGGTGTCTACTCAAGAACTCACGGCCACGCCAGTATTGGCTGGATTAGCCCTAGCCATAGTCCTGACAAACCGTTGACGGCGAGTGCAGGGGGATTAACTCGTCCACGCTAGGGTTCCCAATCCGGCAATGTTAAGAGCATCTCGCCCTCCTACTCGTCGCCGTCGCTGTCGCCGTTGCCCTCCCCCGGAGTCCTGCCTTAGAGATAAACCTGGGCGGCGCAGTGTAGACCGGCACTGGCCACTTCGCTGGAATACCCCGGGAAGGTTGATCAGCTCTGCCTAACCCACGGTAATCGCAGGCTCAGCCCCTCGTCAGTGGACATCTCTGCCTACAGCGTCGGGACCCTCCCCCCACCCACTCACAGGCAGGGAATTCGTCTGTGCTGACGTTTCCTCCGTTTGTTTGCACGCGGGACACGCCGTCGACGGCCGTCTGCTTTGTACAGTGTGTTTCTTTGTTGGGCGTTGGCCTCTACGCTGCCTGCGCCTAAGCTGCCTGGTTTTACTGCCTGGTTTTACTGCCTGGTTTTACTCTGCCTGCGCTGGAATGGGCCTGTTTGATTAGCGGGCAGGAAAAAATTTTGCTGCTGCTTTTCGGCTGCGACTCGGCCAGTGACACAAAATCCGGATCGCTGGAATTGGCGTAAGCTGAGCCCCTATATAAAGATGGACGAATAAGCAGAAAACTTTTCAATTGGATCAAAAGTGTGGAGATTGCTTCCTTTAGCTTCTTGTCTGTTCAAAGGGGATTTAGTACTTTCTTTCCTTTGACCTACTTTCTCTAGCTCTCTTTTATATTTTTGTGCCTTTGCTCCCAGAACCACGCAAGCGACCATGACTAAGATCACAGTGAAGAACCCAATCGTCGAGATGGACGGTGATGAGATGACCAGAATCATCTGGAAGTTGATCAGAGATGAGTTGGTGTTGCCATACTTGGATGTTGATCTCAAGTACTACGACTTGTCCGTTGAGAACCGTGACAAGACCGACGACCAAGTCACCGTTGACAGTGCCGAGGCCACTTTGAAGTACGGTGTCGCTGTCAAGTGTGCCACCATCACTCCGGATGAGGCCCGTGTTGAGGAGTTCAAGCTGAAGAAGATGTGGAAGTCTCCAAACGGTACCATCAGAAACATCCTCGGCGGTACTGTCTTCAGAGAGCCAATCGTCATCCCATGCATCCCACGTATTGTTCCACAATGGGAGAAGCCAATCATCATTGGTAGACACGCCTTTGGTGACCAGTACAAGGCCACCGATGTGATCATCCCATCTGCCGGTGACTTGAAGCTTGTCTTCACCCCAAAGTCTGGCGAAGCCGAGGTCTTGGAATGGCCAGTCTACGACTTTGCCGGTGCTGGTGTGGCCATGGCCATGTACAACACCGATGAGTCCATCACAGCCTTTGCCCATGCTTCCTTCAAGATGGCCTTGGAGAGAGGCCTGAACCTGTACAGCACCACCAAGAACACCATCTTGAAGAAGTACGATGGTCGTTTCAAGGACATCTTTGAAGGTTTGTACGCCTCCACCTACAAGGCCCAGATGGACGACAAGGGCATCTGGTTTGAGCACCGTTTGATCGACGATATGGTTGCCCAGATGATCAAGTCCAAGGGTGGCTACATCATTGCCATGAAGAACTACGATGGTGATGTCCAATCCGACATTGTTGCCCAAGGTTTCGGCTCTCTTGGTCTGATGACCTCCGTCCTTGTCACCCCAGACGGCAAGGCCTTTGAGGCCGAGGCTGCCCACGGTACTGTCACCAGACACTACAGACAACACCAGCAGGGCAAGGAGACCTCCACCAACTCCATCGCATCCATCTTTGCCTGGACCAGAGGTCTCATCCAGAGAGGTAAGCTCGATGACACCCCAGACGTTGTCAAGTTCGGTGAATTGGTCGAGAAGGCCACCTTGGACACCGTCCAGGTTGACGGTAAGATGACCAAGGACTTGGCCTTGGCCCAAGGCAAGACCGACAGATCCTCTTACGTGACCACCGAGGAGTTCATCCACGCTGTCGCTGACAGATTGCAAAAGGAGTACGCTGCTGCTTTCTAAGAATTATTTATGTAATTGACTTGTGTATTTATTTCTTACCTCTTTGTCCTGTATCATAATCCTCATAGTAACCACCTCCACCTCGCCAACGCGGTTATCTTAGGCGGAGGGCCATGGCGTGCTTCTGCCTGTGATTTTCCTTCTGGGGGCAGGAGCCGCTGATTTAGCCGTGCTGGGCAGGAAGTACATAAGGGGGGCATCGTCAGCCTACGGGGACCTCAGGCCATCACGCTTTCCATAAATGAGTCATTAGACAACAAAACAATAGCCACCAATACAAGAGAAATGGTTGACGAGAACCCGATCATCTGTGAGTCGGTCTGTGCAGCTCTTCTGTATCAGCTCCTCTGTATCAGCTCCATGTGCTAACCACCTTCTAGTTGCGCCAAAGACATATCAATACGACAAGGACTCACTGGACATCAGTCAAGTTGCTGAGGACCCATTTGTTCAGTTCAAGAACTGGTTTGACGAGGCTACGAAGTCCGAATCTATTCCTGAATGCACGAACTTCTCCACTGCTGAGTTGCCGTCAGGCAGGGTGTCGAACAGAGTTGTTCTGTTCAAAGAGCTGGACCACAAGGGGTTTGTCGTTTACTCCAACTGGGGCTCTTCCAAGAAGGCCAGGGATGTCAAGAGCAATCCACATGCTGCTCTGACCTGGTTCTGGCCTACTCTGCAGCGTCAGGTCAGGGTTGAAGGTGTCACTGAGTTTGTTGATAGAGAAACGTCCCAGAGATACTTTGATACTCGTCCAAGAGGCTCGAAGATTGGTGCGTGGTCTTCACCTCAGTCGTCGGTATTGAAGAACCGTGACGAGCTCAGCGAGGTCTATGCTCAGAGAGAGAAGGAGTTCGAGGGAAAGGAGGAAATCCCATGTCCTGATTATTGGGGTGGATTGAGAACGATTCCTCTGGAGATTGAATTTTGGCAAGGCCGTCCAAGTAGACTCCATGACCGTATCGTCTATAGAAGAGCCACACCGGAGGACCCTTGGGAGATTGTTAGAATTTCACCATGATTGGTGCGTGTAGATATCTGTTGAATATATACTAAAGCTATATAGAAGGATCTATAATGTTAAGAATAGACTCAATCTGTTTGTTTAAAAGCTTGTTCGATTTGTCAAACCTCTGCAGCTCCAAGATCACTCGATCTATCTCTTTTCGATCGAATTGCGACTCAATGCATTGACGATTCTTACTGTAGATAGATCCAATGAGTAAAGAGTAGTAGCCGAAGCACTCCACATGGCATTTGGGGAATAATGTGTGTAGCTGATGCGTATGCTCTGAGCAGAAATCAAGGCAGCCTGGGTCTTCAACGAGGTTTATTAACAATCCAATGGACAGGAGTTGCACCTCCATGTCGTCAGTGTTTATTGCCTCGTCGATTGATCTAATCACAAGCTCAGACCGGTACACTTTGTCAAATTTCTTGATACTCATGAGAATCAGCACCTTTAGACAGAGAATCTTTGTACGTTCTGAAGCCAATTGGGGCTTTAAAAGCACATTTACTACTTTCTCAAACTCTGGCTCCACTTCATCCTTCTCACTGAGATACTTTTCGTAGATTATCAAGGCCATTTCAAAACTCTCAGTATCGTCGATTAGTTTAATTCTGTCCATGAGGGCGATGATGCCATCAACCAATTGCTTGCTCGTAGATAGCCCATTCTCAAGTATCACTGAAAGAGCATAGTATGATGTACTGTGCTTGACTTCCAAGTGAGAGTCCCATTCATCAAACAGCGTTCTTACCAATTTCGAGGCCCGCAATGGTCTAACCTCAGTGCATCTCAGCAACGTCAATATAATGTTTTCAACCTTCAAAGGGTCATAATCGTCCAATTGGCCAGTCTGGGATGTTATGTATGCAAATATATAGCACATTGTACAGTCATCGGCGTTGGTGTATTGCCATAGAGAAAGGTTGCCCGTGGCTTTTAGGAATTCCACGAATTGTTCGTCTGAAAGCTTCATGGCAAGTTCCAGAAATGAAGAAACTGTCGGGTTCTCTTTTATTCCATCCATGATGAAGCTCAATTCATCGACAAACTGCGCATTGGAGCCTTGGGCTCTAAGATCAGCTAGATTTTTTAAGTCACATGTTGAATTATTGCCAGCATCTTCAGGCTCAGAGCTGGGCATATGGTCTTCTTCAGCAGGACTCTCGTCTCCCTCGCTTTGACTCTTCGTCTTCCTCACAAGGAAGCTTCTGTGTGCGCCATACGTTCTCTTTGATCTGTTTATCCTTGGAGAACCATGGGAATTTGGTGATTCGGTCACCAAATTTGAACTCTCCTCTTTGGCACTGTGGCCTTTGGTATCGTGATCATTGGAGGCCTGGATTTGGTGTTCGAATACCTTTATTATCTCTTTACACTCGTCTGCTGCGTGTTCTCTTGATGGAGTGAGTGAAAGCTTCAATGTTGTCCTCTTCACCTTCGCCTCATCAACCACATCCAGGAAATCCCACTCATCGGCAACGCCTGAATCACTTTTCACCCTCTCATTGCAATCACCGTCATTGGACAGTGCTAGAAGCTTCTGGGTGATTGGTGAAGTTGTGGACGAACTGGTCCTCAGCTCATGGCTTCGATTCGTCTGCGGTGATAGCGAAGGTGACCATCTGGGCTTCAACTGCGATTCCACGAAGAACCTGTTCAATTTCGGTGAGGGTGTGGAAAGCTGGGCGTTTCTGTTCATGGGTCTCCTCTCCGGAGTTCTTCTAGTGGGTGAATGCTCAATTGATGAGACGTCGTTTCTCAAAGCCTCTGATTTGGCCCTCAACCTTGGACTCCTCCTCAGCTCTTCTACTGGGGATGCTTCCTCAAACATCTCATCCCGTGATGCTCCAATTGGTGGAAGTCCATCATTTCGATGTGGTGAGAGATCTACTGACGGCTGTAGTTGTCTTCTCTTGCTGGATCTCCTGCCATAAGCACTCCGTTTCATCTGTGTTCTTCGCCTGCTGAGCTCATCGATGTTAGGCGGCGACGCGTCGCAGGCCCTCAAAAAAAATCATCACCACCATCGCAAGCACGCGTCCGTCCTCATCACCACCACGAGACACAGAGCTTTCGAGGGCAAAATGTACGGTGACATCGCTAACAAACTGGTTGTTGAGGCGAAGAGAACACAGAGCTTAGAGCAGCTGACTGTGTTCCAGGATGAATTGGTACGTTCCATCATCAAAGAGACAAAGGACTTAGCTAAAGCCCTTGAAACTATGGAAGATGACGATGAAGACAGATCCAAGCTGTGTCACCAATTCGTCGCCCATTTGGCTATGCGTCGTAACAAGAGAGCACTTCTGCTTTATGAGAAGCTACGGGCTGAGAAGCTGGACCAGATGGTGTGGGAAAACAAGGAACTGGAGGTTGGGAATCACCATGAACTGGAATACTTCAAGAGCTACAGCGAAGTGCTCATTGACTACAAAAGCGAGTTCCCAGATGTGGATCTCACGGGCTCTCTAGAGCCCCCAACCGATGTCTTCATCGACGTTAGAGTGCTGAAAGATGCCGGTGAGATCCAAACAGAGTATGGCGTATTCAACCTCACCAAAGACTCGCAGTTCTTTGTGAGGAAAGCCGACGTCGAGAGACTCATACAACAAGGATATCTACAGCTAATTACATGATCTTACTGGTGCCATTCATAGCAAAGATTACATGAAGTTAAACTCGGACACCTGTGACTTTGCAGCCATCTTGGCTAGACGTAGCATCTTCTCCTTCCCGTTCTCCTTCTTCTTCTTGTGTTGTCCTCCATGGCCTGAATTGGAGCTTCCACCAAGGTTCTTTGGTGTCTCTCTCAAGCCAAATCTCTTTGCCAAATGGCCCAAATGTAGAGTCTTGACGTTGAAGACGTCCCTTTCTGCTGATAAATGTGTGGCATACGCACGAATATGGCTGGTGAATGCTCTAGCAGCCTTGTCGTGGGCAGTTTGGTCTTCTAGGAGCCATCTTTCAACGTTCAAGTGCCATGTTGTTGCGTCCATGTCCCATTTATCACCAAAGCCTGTTTTCAGCAAGTCTTCGTACGACTTGTACTGAACACCGTGTGGGTGATAATGTTGGATCTTCTCCATGTACTTCTCCTCTGAGGGTAAGAGGAACAGTACAGAGCGACCCGACTTACCAGCTCTTGCAGTACGACCAATTCTGTGCAAATGATCTTCAGTAGCAAATGGTGGGTCATATTCGATAACAGTGGATATGTATGGAAGATCCAAGCCTCTAGATGCAACATCAGTACAGAACATGACGATATGCTTATCCTCTGGGGCTTTGGAGAACGCCGATAACGTTGATGTACGCAATTGCTGGGATAAAGAGCCATGAAGCTTGAATACCACGGTGTTCTCTGATAATAGAGGAGACGTCATCACAGTGGAAGATGTATCATCGTCATCGTCGTCATTGTCGTTAGACACTCGCTTGATGCTCCATTTCTTACCACCTTTGGCAAATACTGAGAAATGGAAATCCACAGAGTCAGAGCATGACAAGAATATCATCGTACGTGATCCTCCTTCCTGAGTGGTGATTGATTTCAGAACAGATGCCATTGCCACAAGCCTCAGCTTTGGTGGAACAACACACACTTGCTGTAATAGCTGGTCTGGTGCTGCGATATTCTCCATTATTTCAACGTCTTCAACGTCTGGGACTGAGTTTGGACTCACCATCTCTGCGTCTTTAAGAGAGATCTCTCCCAGCTTCTTGACGTTCTGTTTGATCGTCGCAGAACATAGCACATTACAACGCTTATGTGGTAAGCTAGGGTACATCTTCAGCGTTGCACCAATGCGTGATGTCTTTGTAATGTCATTCAGGATCTTCGTGATGGTTTCCTCGAACCCCAGCTCCATCAGTTTATCACCTTCATCCATCACAATCCATCTGATGTTGGAAAGATCGAGTCTCTCTGTATTCTCAATGTGGTCTGCTAGTCTCCCCGGCGTGGCAACTAGGATATTGACTCCCTTTCTCAATCTGGCCTTCTCCGACTTCTTCTTTTCACCACCAATGACAATGCCTGGGACTATTCTATGGCAACAGTGTGACAACGTCTCGATGACCCCATAGATCTGCGTTGCCAACTCCCTGGTTGGTGCCAGGATCAGCGCAAATATCCCACTTGTACGGTTCAAATCCTGGACATCCATGAGCCTTTGGAAAATCGGCAATACAAACGACAATGTCTTACCAGAACCCGTCTGAGCCTGGACGAATAGGTCTCTTTCCCTCTCCAGCAGTCTCGGCAGAACAGATCTCTGGATCTTTGTAGGGATTTGAACGTTCATGTGCTCTGTCAGCTGTCTGGTCAAGTTCTCGTTCAGTCCAAGTCCTTCAAACGTGGTCGAGTCCTTCAGCGGAGCATTCGAAGCATCAAGCGACGCCAATTCCTGGTCATACTCTCTTTGCTCCATGTCAGGCTTCGATGTGAACAATGACGAGACATACGTGTTGTTCTTCCCTGCGGAGCCCTTCCCTTCCACGAACCTGGCCTGCTTAGAGGGGCCCCTCTGAGCGTCCTCCTGTGAGGTGGCAGGTCTCTTCCTCTGTGCCTGCTGTTGTGGTCTGTCCTTCTCTACTGGCGTGGAGTTCACTCCAGTAGCGGAGCTCTTCGGAACCTTCTTAATCCCCTTCGCCTGGAGCTGGGCCTTACGACGGTCTCTCCATTTCCCACCAACCACCTTCGCAGACACACTCTTCGTCACTGGAGCACTCTCCGTGCTGATGTTCAAAAACAAGTCCTCGTCCATTACAAACACTGGCCACTCTTCTTTCCTGCTTCCTTCCTTCCCTCTTGCACAGCTTGTACGTGAAGCTCATCGCACGCTTCTATAAAATTTTCGGGACATATCCGCATTGGGAAACCCGACCTGCGCCATCCTTATTCCGGCCGAAAACACGCAGACACGAATGGACAAACACGCGGTTCCGAAACGCCGATCCCCGGGCACCCACAACTTCCGACACAAAACCCGAAATTCCGACGTTTGGTGCCATCTGACTCAGACAGCTTGGCAAACATTTTATCCGCTAGGCACACACATAAAAACTCCTTGCAAGGAGGAAAACCAGTGCGTCTGCCGCAGCCTTGAGCCCATTGATCGGTGTTATAACATAGAGCTACGTACACTTGAGGTAAACAAGTCGTAGTCAGAGCAATGAACGTGTCGAACAGCGACGGTTCAAATGCCGATAAGAAGTCGAAAGAGTTCGAGCCGATGGAGTTTGAAGATGTGAGCCCGCCAAAGGTCACCAGAGCCAATGAGGTATACACTGAATGCAAGAGACTGGCGATATTGGCCTTCTTTGCGATATGGGGAGTGTTGGCAAGGAAGGGACTCCAGAACTTGACGAGCTACGATGGCTCGTACCTGGGAGGCATCATCTGGTGCAACTTTGGTGCGTGCGTGCTGATTGGCATGCTGAATGAGAGCCAGGCAGCCTGGGCCGACATGGCCCAGCCTAAGGGCCAGCTGATGCTCTACGTTGGTGGAACCACTGGGTTCTGTGGGACGTTCTCCTCCTTCAGTACGATGGTTCTGGACGCTTTCTACAAGAGTGCCAACGTGGACCTCGGCGTGCCTTACGACTACCCGAACCCAGCGTATGGCATCATGGAATGCCTGTCTGTGTTCATCGCTCAAATGGCGTTGTCGATTTCGGGCTACACCTTTGGAAGACATCTAATCATGCACTATGACCCTCCTCTGCCCTTTGGCACGGTGCCGTTGTGGGAGACCGTTATCGCCATTGCTGGTATTGCATGTTGGATCGCTGCTGCGTGCCTGATGGCGATACCTAGTGGTAGATCGTGGACGTTTGCTGCTGTGATGTCGCCAATTGCGTGTTGGATGAGATACTACATGAGTAAATGGTTGAATCCAAAGCTCCAGCAGTTCCCATTGGGCACGTTTTCGGTCAACTTCATAGCTACGATCTGTCTGGCTATTATCGTCATTTTGAACCGTGGTGAGACCAAATCTGGGTCTCGGGTGGTGAACACTATACTCTCTTGTCATATCCTCCAAGGTCTCGATGATGGATTCTGCGGCACTCTCTCTACAGTGAGTACGTTTGTCTCAGAATTACACTCTTTGAGGATAACAAAGGGCTACATCTACGCATTCACGAGCATTTCGGTGTGTTTTTCTCTAATGATTATCATCTTGGGGTCTTATACTTGGACTATGGCACTTGTTGACCCACTATGTTCATGAATTTTGATTGGCAGTGCATGTTTTTTTGAGATGTCAGTAATGTTTTCTTGTCTTGCTTGATCAGTGATTGATAATGTTGACTCACATGAGGTATCCTCCCCCGTAGGTTTATGATCTGTCTTTGTTACACCATGACTTGAAGCTTCGCCTGCGTGCTTTACCATTGGTCCCCAGTATATGGTGATGGCTTTGACATCTCTGGCTACCAGCTTGAATCCGACGTGTACTCTCAGCTACAGAGATATACACTGATCACAACACTTGGGCCTCAATCAACCAATGTGAAAGAAGTCTTTGGTTGAGCCCTTCATCAACAGACATGGTGATTCAGAGATGCCCTTGAAACGGCCATCCATATTGTTCCCAAAGGAAGAAAGACAACGCTTGGATTCGGGACATAACTCATTTCAAACAACGCTCCAATGACCGGTGAAACGTATTCTCTCCATTAAGCTTCTTTTTCTGTCCAATCAAGTGAATACCAAAAGCTTCAAAGAGACGTTACAGTTCCAACATCAGAGATAAAAGACACATGTTCATTTCCCTGTTTCTTTAGATCCTTTTGAGCATAGCTTCCATTATGATCGAAGTGGCCTTTTTACATCTATAGTGGAAAAACGAACCACTAGGAAAAAGAACTATTGGATAGATGGAGAATTGAGTGAGTAGATAGACATCCCCATAACCTCAGAGTCTGTAGCCCCCACCTTCATTCACTATAATCATCGAGAACATTCCAATGAATAGCACCATATTGAGACTGTTTGAACCCTGAATACAAGACAGTTCCGGGAATCGATATCTCCACCTTACGTTAGTCTTCTATTAGGCTAGAAGTGACTTTATAACTTAACAAAAGTCCTTTTGAACAGTGAAGATACTTCCTGGTCTTGTGGGGAAAATAGGACAGCCCCTAACACAGCTGAATCCTCTACTCATATGGGCCATCTTCATCAGAAGGAATCCTCCATCTTCGTTCTCTATACAGATGAAGCTTCAGCAGTGAAGTACAACACATCAATGAGGTGTGAAAGAAGTAGCAACACTCCGAACACAATGAGGATGTATCATACTCGTGGGAGTGTCTGGGTGTCTGAACTGGACGATCGGGACAGCTATTGGTGATATCCAAATGAACAGAAAACACAGTCCTTCCCCTTTGTGAGTACTATATACACTCCCTGGCTCAATGGTTCCAGCTAATTGGACATGAGTGAAATGGTCTGTTGTAGAACACGTTTCCAAGCCAAGAGAGCTTCGTTCGAAACTGCTGAGTAGGTCCGCCTTCTAAAAGGCATCGGAGACGAATCAACTTCAGGTGTGCTCTTGACACGATCAGCCCACCTTTGGCATTCAATCCCATAAGATCTGTGATATTATGGACAGGGAGACGATTGAAGAAGAAGAAAAGAGTATTGAAGAGAGAAAAAGTGAACAATTCTGGTGATTTTTCACTTTGGCTATCCTCGCTTGGTTAAGAAACGCGCGCGAACGCGAACACGAACACGAACACGAAACCAACGCGAGATTCACCTCAATATTAAGAAGGTCTGGTGGGCTCTTCTATGAACCAATGAGCCAGCCAGCTTCGACGTCCAGTGATGCCAGAGCCAGTGCTCTCTCAGAACTACATCCCACCATCATAGATGTATCGTCTTCTTCGCAAAGCGTCAATGTGACTGGCTCTGTTGATGTTGAAATTGAAGGGTTTGAGATCCTGGACTCAGAAGATGGCAGTGATGCTGATGATCCGTTTAAAGTGCTGATACAACCAAGGACTGAACCGTCAATATCAGCTAGTCGCTGTCGAGACAGTGGTAGCAGGTCGTCAACTGCACCAGCAAGAGTACGAACAAAGAGGCAGAGGGTTGATCTGCTGGAAGTGTTATTACCGGAGAACTACGAGATTAGTGGGCTGGATATGGAGTCCACTGTTATACAGTCTTCAAGGGAACAGGGTATTGGTCTGTATTCATCAGATGACTCAAATGGCAAGCTGTACCAAGGAATACAAGATACAGTCGATTGTGATGAGATTCTTTTAACATCTACTCGGAGTGATGAACCTACTGGACAATTATTACAGGGTGAACGTCGAGACACTGGTACAGCCATAGAGAATGGTGAGGTTATTAAACTGGCAAGCTCATCTGTAGAGAGATTGGATAGTTTTCAGATGACGGACACGTTTCCTGTTGGTAGCATGCTAAGCACTGAGGAAATCTGTGAAGAAGCTGGTCCACCACCTAGTGATTCACTCATCAAAGGGAGTGCAGAATCTCAAAGTATTAATGAAACCTCAGATAAGGGGGGGCAGCTTATGTCCAAATCACCAACCGAGGGTAGGACTGATGATACAGACACAAGTAGCGATACGTGTGCTACTGAGATGGTTATTCCACCACGTCGTCCGAAAAGGAAGGCAACTCTTTCAGATCTCTGTTCACGCAAGGCCAAAGTGCCATATCGTGTTGGGCTATCAAGAAGGGCAAATGTTCAACATCTGCATTCTTACTTGAGCAAGAGATAGACAAACTAATGACTGATGAACGATAATATGCATTGACTTGATCATTCTTGTAGACTTTTTCCGTTTGTGCGATGTGGGTTTCTTCACGATGGGATAAAGGCATGTATTTCCACAAAAGTATCACATTCACGTTACAATTGATATCATAACGGAGCACAAGATGATGATTCGAAACAAAGAGAATGAGAATGAGTCTCCATGTAAGGAAAACGTGCCAATCCAATTGAGGAAATTCACAGGTCAAGGACTCAAACCGAGGGCATACTCACAGAATAGTAGAAATACCAACCAACAATCATCGTTGTGGCCTCCGACTAAATTGTCAGCTGCACAGCATCGAGTGTTCCATCCATCAAGACATGATGCCCTAAATCATAGGAGTATAGTGCTAGTTGGCGATCCAAAGTGTGGGAAGTCTTCGTTGGTGTTAACCTACCTAGCACAAAGATATACTCATCCAAAGGGTTTATCACCCGTTGACACTTATGAAAAGGTGATCCATTTCAACAATTCCCAGCCCGTTAACCTCCAAATATGGGATATTCCAGGTGATGAGGAGTATGACAGATTCAGACCATTGGCATATACAGGCGCCAAAGGGGTGTTAATATGTTTCAATTTGGAAATGCCTGGAACATTTCAAAGCATTCAGTTCAAGTGGATCCCGGAACTTGAAACGCATTGTCCCGCAGCTGAGAGAATCATCGTTGGCATCGGCTCTCACTTGAGATCAGATCCCAAAATGGCACATGGACTCCCTTCAGTTGAGTACTGTCAGCAGTATGCATCCAGCATTGGATGTAAATACATGGAGTGTTCCTTGTTGAACAATAGAAGCTATTCACGAATCTTTGAAGCTATGGCGATGATGCTAAGCAAGGATTGCAGCTCTAACCACTTGTCATCGCTCACTGAGCTCCCTAAAGTACGTTCACCAAATAGGTTACAAACCCTGGAGGAGTCTCCAAGACGGTCATCGTTCAAGAAAAGACATTCAGTTTGCACCATTGTTTGACTCGGGATTGCTCGTTATATCAGCATCCATTTTCTCTACGTCTGTAGATAACGGCTCGACAGCATCAGAGCCTGTCATCACCTCTGTGTCCAGTGGTCTCATACGTTCCATCTGAGCCTTTGCATCATAGAAATTGGCCCAAAGAGCTGCAACGCTTTCAAATTCCTTTCCAACAGCCACTGTCCCTTCCAGCGATCTATTCAGCGCGTTGATGTTGTTGAGCACTGTGTCCATCGAAGTGGCAATCTCGGTGATCAGCAGATCACGTTGCTTCTCAAAATACGTAAGCTGGCGATCTTTGCTTTCCTTAGACATGCTTGCTTTCTTGTTCAGAATGGTTTTAAACAGAAAGAGGATTTAGAAGAAGTTCCCAGAAATGTAAACAACGCGAAAGAACAGGGAGCTCCGAGGGTGATGTCGGGCGCATTCCGAGGGTAAAATGGGTACTTCACTTACTTCCAAAGCGATGGAAAGGGCTCTTTGCTAAGTTGCTAGGCCGTTTCTCCCTTGTGTGGTGCCTCCTGACTCGCTGTATGGTGTGTCTATGTCGGCTGGTAAGCGAGAACAGGTAGCTCACGGGTGGTGACGTTGTATAGGCAATAGCTAACTAAGTAAGAGGAGGAGATGATGTGGTTTGAACATTGATGCCTAATACTGAGGACCTGACAAGTGATATCTGCTACAAGCCTATTGTTGATACAAAAGGTGGATCCTCCAGGGTGCACGGATATACATCTCAATTGGGAAACTGGTGGTTATCTGTATACGTTGTGGTGTCCAAATAGAATGGAAACTGTAAAACTCATTCGAATCTCATATAGAAAACTTTTGGGGTGTCCTTTTTCAGCATGACAAGCTGTCAATCACATAATGCGTCCCTGTGTTATATAGAGTATGGAATGTGGCTTCTCAATTCTTGGAACAGGGTCTCATCATGCAAAATTCCCTTATGAGAATACACATAGTGGCCTTTATGTTTGAGGTGTGGATGCCTTATCAAATGGCACCATACTGTAATAGTGTCAGCAACTCTAAACAAGTCTTTGCAGTTTCGTTGTTATATAAAACAGTGGAAGCAGTACCAGCAATAATGTTTTATTATCCAGCATGTAGGCCAAAGAATTGGAAATGGAGATCAAGAAAGAGAAAATTGATGTAGGCATCACTTCTAAAGATGTGAACGCATCCAATGTTGAGGTTTTCTTACAGGGTTTAAGTGAGCAAGAGGTGACTGCAAATATCGAATCCATCATAGATGAACATCCAGAACTTGGTGCAAAGAGAGAGATTCTGCTGCGTGGTGCATTACTGGCCAACGATGGTGGAGATGTGTTGGAAGACAAAGAACATATGTACTCTAAGGAGGAAATTCAATCCTTGGAATTTGAGAAAAAGCATTCGATCAGATCACAATCGTGGACTATGTACCTGATTGCCCTTACTGCGTCCCTCGCTGCAGTTAACTTTGGCCATGATGAAAGTGCTGTTGGTGGTGCTCAACTGTCTTTCTTCGAGTTGTTTGGAGTTACTGATTCCAATATTCAAGGCTTACTGAACGCTGCACCCTATTTATCTGCTGGAGTGTTGGGTTCTCCAGCAGCTATAATCCTTGATCATTGGTTTGGTCGCAGATGGATCATATTCGTGTCATGTATCTTTGGTGTTGGAGGTTCCTTATGGCAAGCATTCACCCAGTCGATGGGATCAATGCTCGCTGCTAGACTATTCTTGGGCATTGGAATGGGATTAAGCTCCACTGCTGTTCCAATGCTCATTGCTGAATCCAGTCCCGCAAGATCCAGAGGTGCTTTCCTCATGCTTTGGCAAACTTTTGTCGCCTTTGGCGTAATGTTAGGAAGCATCTTTAACAGAGCATTCGTGGATGTTCCTGGAGAAACTTCGTGGAGACTCATGATCGGTGCTTCTTTTGTCACTCCTGTCTTTGTTGCAATACTCATTCCTTTTGTTCCGGAGTCACCTCGTTACTTGGTTGCTAGAAATAGGGAAGCTGAAGCACTTACTGTGCTAGAGAAGTTGAGAAATGGTAAACTGAGAGGTGCTAGAGACTTTTATATCCTCTACTCCTCTTTGAAACAATCAGGTAAGATTGAAGAAATCCCAACTAGTGACCAGATCAAGCTCTTCTTTACTGATGGTCGAGTTCAATATGCATTTTTAGTCTCGGCATTCAACATGGCTATGCAACAGTATTGTGGTGTCAATATTCTGGTTGGTTATACAGCCACTATCCTGACTGATTCGGGAATCGACAGTGTGACTGCTATTGCAGGAAGCATTGGAATTGGTGGTGGATGCTTTCTCGCCACGTTCTTTTCGTCACAATGTATCGACAGGTTTGGAAGAAGAAAGATGCTTCTTCTCACTTTCCCGGGATTGGCATTTTGTCTCTTTTGGCTGGGCGTTTCGTTACAAATTGATGAAACATCCCAAAGATTGGGGTCTGGATTGACTTCGATGTATCTCTTTGTTGTGGTTTTTGGTCTGGGTATAGGACCAGTGAGTTGGACATACAATGCAGAGGTTTATCCTTTGAATGTCAGAGCATTTGGCGTGGCTCTAGGGATGTCAATCAACTGGATTCTGGATTTTGTACTGCTCTTGACATGGCCCCAGATGGCGCAAAGTATGACTATGAGTGGTGGTCTGTACTTCTATGGATCTTGTAACATATATGCCTTCTT